CACACACACACACACACACACACACACATATTGTTTTCTATATTCCCCCCGTCCCTAAATTGATTACAATTTTTTTTTTCTCTCCTTTCGATAACTTTTGTTTGTTTACGCGATTTCATTAAGTATATGATAAAATAAAATATTCTTGCCACCTCTTATTTTGTAGAACTTTTGACGTAGTTTTTTAATATGTAATTTTTATATCTTATTGATATACCAATTTGTAAATAAAATGATTTTAAAAAGTACTCCCTCCGTCCTAAAATTAATTTCTCATTTTGACTTTTGTGGTCAAACTTTTTAAACTTTGACCGTATATTAAGAAAAAAATACATTGAATTTTCATATAAATTTATTAGCAATAGATTCATTTTGGAATATAGTTTTGAAATATATAATTTTTATAAAATATATTTATATAAAAATTGAGATATTGATGGTCAAAGTGTCGCATTGGAGACCGTGAAAAGTCAAATGAGAAGTTAATTTTAGGACGGAGGGAGTAAGAAAATTTATTCCGTAACCCGCAATTTGTAATCAAATTGGGGACGGAGGGAGTATGTTAAAACTTAGAATATATGTGAGCCCGTGCAAAGCAGGAGATTAATGCTTGTAAAGATGTAATATCCTAAATTGGGGAATATTTTTTCTTTTCTTGTGTTCGCATGGAAAATTATAGGTTATCCCACTACGATGTTTGAGGGAAGCAAGTTGAAGGAGGATGAAGATCGGTAAAAGTCTAGCGACTATCATTACTCTCCATTCCCTTTCAACTATGATTTTGTTTATATTTTGACTCAATCTATTTTTAAGGAATAGATATATCGTAGAACTCGATCTATCTTAATTTCAATACAACAAAATATGAAAATGAGTATTCTTGGAAGGAAATTTACATTTTTTACAATGTCAAAAAACATTTTTTTTCACTTACTCTTTTACGAAATAGATATGTAAAAATATTTAATTCTATTGGAGTAATATATTTATTTCATGATAATTAGGGGTACTCTTTTCATCCTAAAATATTTTTCTTGTTTTGGTTAACGAGGTTTGACTTAAATAATTTTTAATTCTGTTTATTTGATTATATATATAAAATTAAATAATAAACATTATAGATTTAAAAAGTATATTTAAAACTCTACAAGATAAGAGGTGACGTAAATCAAATGACTAGCAAAACTAGTTAAAGAAAGTAATTAAAGTTTGATCATATAAAAAGTAACTGAGAAGAAATTTTAGGGCAGAGGAAACAATATTTAATTTATGATAAATTACAACCACACACTTTTCACTTTTCATTTATCTGAAGTAATATATTTACTTTTTCAGACTTTTTTAAAATTCCATAAACTGAAAATATAATAGTTTTTCTAACACAATGAGATCGAGTATATATTAAAGTGTTAAATACGCTTTTGGTTCCTGTAAAACGAGTGTTTTTTTATTTTAGTCCCTCTAAACTATTTTTTATCAAATAATCCCTATAAAATATTTATTTTTTAAAATGGTCCTCCCCACCAACTTAAGGTTATTTTCTTAAGGTTTAAAAGGACCAAAAACAAAATCACTTTGAATTTAACACATTTTACATGTACAAAAAAAATCAATAATAATTTTCTAGGGATTAAAAACAAAGTCAATGTTAACACGTATGTTAAAATAAATGATGAAAGGACTATTTTCAGAAACAAAAAAAATTTAATAAAAAAATATTTTAGAGGGACTAAAAGCAAAAAACACTCATTTCGCTGGGATTAAAAATATTTTTCACCCTACATTAAATTCAATTTCTTACAAAACATATACTCCATAAAAAATGAAATACATTTATTGTCTCAAATAAATAAAAATTAAAAATTAGTAATTTAGTAATCTTTTTGATGTAAAGGATGTATAAGATCGAGTAATCAAGTTGTATGTTGGGTCCAAAAAATTTGACTTAGTCCTCCATCTTGTTCTCCGTCACAGGGATACCCTTATAACTTTTCAAAACTATAATTTCAAGACAATTTTACTAATTAATATATATCATAATTTAATACGGTATATATTTTTTTATAATTTGTAGTAAAAAATTTTAAAAATACAGTTCTAAGTTAAAATTGAAAAAAACAAGAGGGACACAAGTAGTAATAAATTTAAAAGTAGTTTGAACGTTAAGTAGGATAAGTCTTCTGGTTCAGTGGTTGTAAAATATAAGCCTAAAAAGTAGTTCGAACGCTAAGGCCCTATTCCGTTTAACTTATTTTTTCTATTTTTTTTTATTTTTATTAAAATCAGATTAGATCAGATCCAATCAGATCAGATAAAAACAGATCCAATCAGACCAGACCAGATTAGATCAAAACTACAAAAAATCAGATCAGAAAAAATAAGTAGAACGAAACGGAGCCTAAGTAGGATACTTCTTGTTTAGTGGTTGTAAAATATAAGACTAAAATGTACACGCAAAAGAAAGAAATTTGGAAAAGATGGGTTTGACATCTATAGTGGGAAACATTGCACGCTGCTGCATACATCAGGGTTGATGCAGCTGCACTCCCCTTTCCACTTGATTAATATTCGTAATGCTACACTTCCATTACAATGATTAATTATGTCATTATTTATTTTTTATTTAATATTTTTATATTTTTGCACTCAAATTTAATTTTTATTTTAAATTTTTTAATATTACCTATATTTTTTTTAAATATAAAATGAAACATAAATTCATAATAAATACGGAGTAATAATTTATTTATTTTATCCTATAATAATATCGTAGTGAATAAAAATGGGGGAAATATATAATACAGAATTATATTATATACTATATTTTATATTTTAAAAATATGGGAGAGAAGAGTCAATTTATTTGGGAGAGAAGAATCAGTAACACAGTTAAAATACTACTCCATCTGTCTCTCTTGGTTCTTCTCATTTTGACTTAGCTTGCACGGTTGCGCTTTACGGTGTTTAGCAAAAAATATTTTTAATTCATTTGGTATGAAAATTGGTTTGAAATTAAAAAATAAAGATTATATTTTTAAAACTATCTATATCAAAAGATCTACATAAATAAAGGCGACATGAATATATTATTTTATCAAAACATAAAAAATAAGAAAAAAATGAATAAAATTTGACTATGATTCTTGTAAATCAGAATAAAATTATTTTTACGTTGTATCATATACTCTCTCCGTCCCAAAAATATTTACACGTTTCAAAAAATTGCGTATCACAATCTCTTACCCATTTCTATTAAAAAACCACTTTTACCGCTTACTTTTTTCAAACCATACATATCATATCATACTTTTTTCCTAATAATCTATACATCACATCATACTTTTACCCATCACATCAAGAATATTTTTGGAAAGTCAACACACAATTATCCCTTCATTAATTTCCACTTTAGTCAAAACGTACCCATCTTTATGGGACGGAGGGAGTAGTATTTAATAAAGATGCTTATGTAATAGAGTCAATAGCACTCAAAAAAAGATGCATATGTGATAAATTAATAAAATTGCTTTTTAGAAGTAATAGAAATATAAACTATGGATTATAAAAATAACTTATTTAACATTTTTAAATTAATGAAATTAGTTTTCAAACTTTAAAATATATTACAATGATGAAAATATAATACAAAAATTATTATTAAAGTTAGGAAGTGAAAGTCTATAAAGTGAAAGAATTTATAAAGTATAATAAAAATAGTGATTATTTAATATAAAAATTACTCCCTCCGTTCCTAAATAAACTTCCTTTTCGTTTTTTCTTTGTCCCCAAATAAACTTCTCTTTTCCCTTAAAAAACCCCTTTTACCCCTTACTTTTTCATACCCTACCTATAATATCATACCTTTTTACTAATAATCTACATATCACATCTTACTTTTATACATTACATCAAGAATATTTTTGGAAAGTCAACACAAAAATATCTCTCTCTTAAATCCTTAAAAAGTCAAAAAGGAAAGTTTATTTAGGGACGGAGGAAGTAATATGCACGCATGGCATGCCACGTGGCATGTGGTATACATGTGTCATGACATGTGTTACAAATGTACACGTGTAGCGTGACACATGTCGTTACCCCATTTAAGCCGCTCAACTTTATATATATATATATATATATATATATATATATATATATATATATATATATATATATATATATATGATGATATGAATAATATGATACTTTCTAATCAACCTATTGAAGTACAGAGAGTAGACCTGTACAAACGAAACACATATTTGGGCCGAGCTTTGGTTTAATGTTTTGGACCTATTCATTTTTTTCAATTTATTTTTAATTTATACATACTTTCTCAATATATTAAAACACAAAGAGTAGACCTACACCAAGGCGTATCCGGGCGAGCTTGAGATTAATTTTTTGAACCTATTCATCATTTGTTTAATTTTTTTTAGTAATACATACTTTCCCAACCTATGTGTTTTTTTTTCAACATATATATTTTTAGTAAAGATCAGTTGAATTTTGTTTAACTTTTTAATATGAAAAAATTTTATATATCTTATTTATATATATATATATTTATTTATTTTTGTTAATTATTTGTTAAATTAACGGTCATATCATATTTTATTTTTATTGATAGTTTTATGTAGTTTTTAAATATTTAAATTTTATTTTGAAATTTTGCGTGTCATTATTTAAATAAATCCGGTCATATTTTGTTATTTGTAATGAGACAATTAATTCGGAACAAAAGGAAGAATACATGCTATGTGCCAAAATATCATTCCATACACAATTTACATTCTCAAATACTCCATCCGTTCCTGAGTATTTGTCCACTTTTAATTTTTTTCGATCAGAATTGCTAAGCTTTGATCACAAATTAAATAAAAATGATATTTGATATTAATACAAAAATAGTTGTATTAGATTTATTATATCAAATATTTTCAAAATATTATTTTATTTAATTAATATACAATATATATTTTATTTAATTATAGGTCAAAGGTTGAAAACAATTGGCTGAAAAAAGTCAAAACTGGATAAATACTGAGTGGGAGATAGTAATATTCTTGTGGGGTATTACATTTTTCATATGTATTTCATTCAAAAGTTTTATGAAAGAGAGAGACAACAAGCTAAAAACTTGGAAAAGGGAACTTTATTTGGGAGTATATATAAGATGGTAATTAATAAGCCAATACAACAATTATACTTACCATCACACATTGCATTGCCCCAATAAAATCTATATAGCTACCTCGATTTTACTTGTAAAATGGAAGGGAGTGACCATGCCGCCATGAAGAAGGAAGAAGAAGAAGAGAGGATGATGGAACAAGAACAACTCATACTCACTCCTCCAGGTGTGTGTGTGTGTGTATATATACTCCCTCCGTCCCATAAAACATTTCCTGTTTTAAAAATGGCACGCCTTTAAAATGAGTAATTTTGGTGTTATTTTTTTAATTATAACTAATCTATTCTACACATCTCATCCTACACATCTTATATATATATATATATATATATATATATATATATATATATATATATATATATATATATATATATATATATATATATATATATATATATATATATATATATATATATTATATATATATATATATATAGAGAGAGAGAGAGAGAGAGAGAGAGAGAGAGAGAGAGAGAGAGAGAGAAGAAATCCATTATTGAGGGTACGGTCCGTTTCGTACACGGAATCGGCGGAATTTGAATTAATTAGATGTAATGAAATTCTCCAATTGCAATTCTTTTTTTGCATTACCAGTTTTAAATCCACATATTTTTGTGTTAGCAAATAATAGAATTGGAATTGATGTTTTTCAATTCCATGATTCGAATTCCGTGTACGAAACGGAGCCTGAAATTTTTCCCAGAATTAGACTATTGTACGGTGTCAGTTTACTTTTTTTTTTAAATTCTATAATTTATTGTTTTGGTTGAATATAATTATTGATTTTTTTATTTCTTCTTCTTTTTGGATTGTAAATTATTGAAGGTTATCCTCGTATGGAGTCACCACTAGACAAGAACAACAACAATCCGTCTCACCGCGAGAGAGGTGTTGAGAATCATGTAAGTTAGTTACTCCTCCCATCAATTAATTTTGTTTTCATTTTTATTTCCCGAGATGGATTTCCATATTCACGTGTCAAATTTTGTTTATTTTATTCACTTATTTTAATGAGAAATTAAAAAGCAAGAAAGACTGAAATATGAGTATAACATATACGAAGTGGAAAATAATTAAAATAGAATCTTCATGGTTTTATTCTAAAAAGACCTATATTAATTAATGTTTATAATGCCAACATATAATATCAAAAGCACCACAGAATGCAAAAATATAGAATGCAACATTGATGTAGTACAATGAGTCTTATTTTAGAGATAAAAACATGTCACTCACATTTTTTGGTACTCTCTTCGTCCCAAAAAATATGCAATTTTGGTATTAAAATGCGTGCCTTAAAAAGTCGCGATTTTGATATTATTTTCCAATTATGATTCATATACTCTACACATCATATCTTACCTTGTTACTCTTTCCGTTCCTGAATATTTGTTCATTTTTGATTTTTTTCAAGTCAAAATAGATAAATTTTGACTCCAAATTAAATAAAAATGATCTAAGATATTGAAAAAATTTAATTTTATTATATGCGATATTTTCAAAATATTATTTTATCTAATTAATATACAATATATATTTTATTTAAGTATATATCAAATGTTAAAAATGGTTGACTGAAAAAAGTCAAAAGTAGACAAATAAAGGACAAAAGTAGTATAAACTGAAGCTAAGGTGAAATTAAAAGATAACAATCGAAATTACATATTTTAGAAATAACATCGACATTAATATCTTAACTTTTTTAGAACAGGAAGGATCCTAATTAAGTAAGAAGGGGAAGTAGAATCTACTCCATCCGTTCTCAAAAACACTTCCTCTTTCATTTTTTCTACTTCCAACAAAACACTTCCCTTTTCTATTAAAAAAACCACTTTTACCCTTAGTTTTTCATACCATGCCTATCACATCATACTTTTTCTCTAATAATCTATCCATCACATTTTACTTTTACCTATCACATCAGGGGCAAAATTGGAAATCAACTATAATTTAACACTTCTTTATTTTTGCCTCAAATCCAAATGGGAAGTATTTTTCCAAACGGAGGGTGTATATTTCTTAAATATATCCTCCCGATCAATTCACTCTCTAGCCTTACCTTAGGACATTGATATATTTGGTTTTGACTATACATGCAGCCTGTCGGTGTGGTATTGCATAACATGCGAAGGCTGCTGCAACGGGAAAAAGTGACTGCAAAGGTTGAGCTTGCCGCCATCTGGGACGACATATATATATATATATATATATATATATATATATATATATATATATATATATATATATATATATATTACTCCGTACTATAAAGAGAAACTAGTAAAACATAAAGCATTTGGGTGTTTCTTTGATGCCCAAACAAATGAGAGGGCATGGATGCCCCTCCATAGATATGTTGCCATGTGAACTTGTAATCATATCAATTATTAATCCTTTCATGCCATTTTAATTTTCAAAAATTGCATATTGGCCCTGTCGCTTCCCCCCTAATTAACTCTATAAAATTGTCAACTATTAAACTTGTTTCCTTCGTGATCTTTTATTTTATTTTTTTTCATACAAAATCATCTAAAATAAAAATAAAGTGTAAACTTTAACTCAAAAATAGAAATAACATATTTTTATATTTAAAATATGAATTTTTACTGTGACAATGCGACATAGTCCATTGAGATACTGTACCACAATGTTTCTAGTCAAGTATTATATTTTTAAAAATTGTGCTCTATATGATTTTTTAAAAAATATTTTTATATTTGAAATAGAATATAAATGAAATAGAAAAAATTACATATACTTGGACTATATATAAAGACTAAATTATATTAACTTCTTGTTTTCTAAAATAAAAATATTTTTTTTGGGCATTACAAAAGTAAAACAATGAGTAGGAAAAGAAAATGAAATAATATACAAATAGAATAGAAAAAGACATGGAAAAAATATGTTTATACAAAAGATGAAAAAGGGAGACATGTAGTGAGGATAAGGTTTTTTTAGGACGTCCAAAAATAACAATCTTTAGATGTTCCAAAAAGATTTTTCTTATTAATTTTAAAAATAAAAGGAGGATTTTTTAATGAATTTGTTGAGTGTCAGTCCAAAACAATATCGTTATTCTTTTTTGGTTTTTCATTTTGAACTTACCAAAAAATTATTGTAGAAAACAAAAAGCGAAAATAGTAATTTGAAATAAATGGAGTATATGTTAGTTTGTTATTTTTATTTTCATTTCAAACACAAAAAATTTTGAATTTTCTAAGACATTATAAAAATTTAAAAAAATATATATAATAAACTTGTCTAGGAAAAAGAAACAAAGAGATAATAAAGAGTCAAAAAAGGAAAAAACCTACATAATAAATGAAATATAAAAAATGAGCAGGAATGTTCCATATGATTTAGAAAATAGTAGGTACTGTTGAAGGAATTTGTAAATTAGTGTGCTGTTGTGTAGATAGAATTTACTTTATATTGTGTAATAAGTTGTACTGGCCCGTGGGCCTTCTCTTGTAAAACCCTACGAAGCTCTTCCCTATATAAGGGAGCTATTATCAATAGAGAAAGACACATCTCCAACAACACGTTATCAGCACGAGCTCAACCCTAATTTTTTTTCCGTCCGCCTCCCTCCCCTGTTTTTTTCTTTTCGCCGATCTCTGCCGCTGTGCATCGCATCGCCGTTCTCCACTGCATCGCAGAGGAAAAGAACCCCATCTGCAAATCAAATCGGAAGGATCTAGCCAGCCCCACCCATTGTTCTGCCGCACACACCCCTATCAGGCATGAATCGAGGTGAAGTTGAGTGCTTAATAGATAGCGGGACTACCCATACCATTTTTCGAAATAGGCAACTATTTGTTAACTTGGTAGCCTATAATTCATCTGTGACAACAATGATTGGTTCGTCACATGTAATTCAAGGACGTGGTACTGCCATTTTCTTACTCCCTAATGGTACATTGATTAAAGCCATAAATGCTCTATATGCACCTAGAGCTACTCGAACGTTGTTAAGTTTCAAAGACATCCGTGACAATGGCTTTCATGTTGAAACTCATTGTGAGAATGGTATTGAATACCTTTACATTACTTCTAATGAATGCGGAAGAAAGCGCATCTTAGAGAAGTTTAAGGGTAAGAGTAGTGGACTGTATATNAATAGGCAACTATTTGTTAACTTGGTAGCCTATAATTCATCTGTGACAACAATGATTGGTTCGTCACATGTAATTCAAGGACGTGGTACTGCCATTTTCTTACTCCCTAATGGTACATTGATTAAAGCCATAAATGCTCTATATGCACCTAGAGCTACTCGAACGTTGTTAAGTTTCAAAGACATCCGTGACAATGGCTTTCATGTTGAAACTCATTGTGAGAATGGTATTGAATACCTTTACATTACTTCTAATGAATGCGGAAGAAAGCGCATCTTAGAGAAGTTTAAGGGTAAGAGTAGTGGACTGTATATTACTACAATTCGAATAATTGAATCTTATTCTATAAGTCATGATGACATAAGGGATACTGAACGATATATACTTTGGCATGATCGACTAGGGCATCCTGGTCGTGACATGATGATTCGTATCCTAAAAACTCTCACGGTCATCCTTTCTTTCGAGGCAAGGACAAAGCGAAACAAAAACCCGACAGCTTGAAGATCGGTCGGCCCAATCTTGCCCAACTGCGACAAATGCCTTCTAAAGAAATTGAAGCATTGTCCTCGTCTCAAAATAATTTTTTGACAATGTCACATGTCCACAAATCCTTTTGTAAAGCCTGCTCATTAGCAAAAACAGGATCACGACCATCCTATGCTAAAGATTCAAAAGAAAATATACCATTCCTACAACGGATACAAGGAGATGTATGTGGGCCAATACAACCAGAAAGCGGACCATTTCGGTATTTTATGGTACTGGTTGATGCCTCGACACGTTGGTCACACGTTACATTATTATCAACAAGAAATGCTGCATTTGCAAAACTCTTGGCACAAATAATTCGTTTAAGGGCTCACCACCCTAACCACCTGATCAAGTCTATAAGACTTGACAATGCTGCAGAGTTTACATCTAAGAACTTTGATGATTATTGTATGGCCATCGGGATTGATGTAGAGCATTCTGTTCCCCATGTACACACGCAAAATGGCCTTGCAGAAGCAACCATTAAAAGATTACAAATGGTAGCTCGGGCATTGATTATGCGTTCTAATTTGCCCACATCTGCATGGGGTCATGCCATATTACATGCAGCTTTACTTATTCGCTTGAGACCCACTGCTTCACAACCATTCTCTGCATACCAGTTGGTGACTGGTTATGAGCCTGACATTTCACACTTACGGATATTTGGTTGTGCAGTGTATGTGCCGATTGCGCCCCCACAACGCACTAAAATGGGTCCTCAAAGACGATTAAGTATTTATATTGGATATGAATCCCCAACCATTATTCGCTATATAGAACCTTTGACAGGTGATCTTTTTACTGTTAGATTTGCAGATTGTCACTTTGATGAGACAGATTTCCCGTCGTTAGGGGGAGATAAGAAAAACTCTCCAAACGAACGACAGGAAATATCGTGGTGTGTCCCCACACTGTCTCATTTTGATCTCCGTACTTCACATTGTGAAAGCGAAGTGAAAAGAATAATTGATCTCCAAAACGTGGCAAACTCGATGCCCGATTCATTTATTGATATTGCTAAAGTGACAAGATCACACATACCTGCTGCAAATGCACCTGCAAGGTTAGAAGTCCCAATTAAAAAGAAAAATGTCATAATGACAGGCATTACATCCACACCGAGTGGAAGTGTGGGTGAGGCCGTGGCTCCTCAAAGGAAGAGAGGAAGGCCACTTGGTTCGATTGACACTCATCCAAGGAAGAAAAGGACGAGTGCGGCACAAACTAATCCATTACACATCGATGTTGAACATCCATCCCATGAGATTATCTCTGATTATAGTTATGTCCATGAATCATTACTGGAGGACGCTCCGATGTTCGATATGATTCAAGAGAATAAAGAAATCTCAATGGATTATGAAAGTGCACATATATTACTAGAAAGATCTTTAACACACATCGATGATGTATTTGCTTTCAGTGTTGCTCTAGAGATAATAGAGCATGATGATATCGAACCACGCTCTATTGCAGAATGTCAACAAAGAGCGGATTGGCCTAAATGGAAAGAAGCAATCCAGGCAGAGCTCGATTCCTTGGCAAAAAGACAGGTATTTGGTCTGGTAGTGCTAACCCCTCCAAGTGTAAAGCCTGAAGGACATAAATGGGTATTTGTCAGGAAACGTAACGAGAAGAATGAAGTCTTAAGATATAAGGCTCGTCTAGTGGCGCAAGGTTTCTCACAACGCCCTGGAATTGATTATGAGGAGACATACTCCCCTGTAATGGACGTTATAACATTTAGGTACTTGGTGAGCTTAGCAGTTTCCGAAAAATTGGAAATGCAGCTTATGGATGTGGTTACTGCATATCTCTATGGGGATCTTGATTCTGAGATATACATGAAAGTACCAGACGGTGTTCCCTTACCCAAATCAAGTGACTCTAAACCACGGAGTGCGTTTGCAATCAGACTAAAACGCTCTCTTTATGGTTTGAAACAATCTGGCAGGATGTGGTATACCCGCCTAAGTGATTACTTGATTAAAGAGGGATATAAGAACGATGAAATATGTCCCTGCGTATTTATAAAGAAAGCAAGTTCTGGATTTGCAATTGTAGCCGTTTATGTTGATGATATGAACATAATAGGCACTCTTGATGAAATAAGAGAAACTACAAATTATTTGAAATCTGAATTTGAGATGAAAGACCTTGGGAAAACTCGATTTTGTTTAGGCCTTGAACTAGAACATCGAGTTGGTGGGATATTAATCAACCAGTCTGCGTATGTCCAAAAGGTACTCAGGCGTTTTAACATGGACAAAGCGCATATTGCTAGCACTCCCATGGTCGGCCGAAGTTTAGATCCTAAAAAGGATCCATTTCGTCTAAAGGAAGAGGATGAAGAGGTATTAGGAGCTGAAATTCCATAATTAAGTGCCATAGGTGCATTATTGTACCTAGCTCAGTGTACTCGGCCGGATATGGCATTCTCAGTGAACTTGTTAGCTAGATTTAGCTCTGCACCAACGCAACGTCACTAAAACGGTATCAAAAATATTTTCAGGTATTTAAAGGGAACCAGTGATATGGGACTGTTCTTTCCATACAAAAGGACAAATGAAGCTATGAATTCTAAGAAAATGGTTGAAGAAGGAAGTTCGTCCTCAAATCTAGAAACACCAAATGATGTACTAATTGGGTATGCTGATGCAGGATATTTATCTGATCCACACAAGGGTCGTTCCCAAACTGGTTATGTATTCACAGTTGGTAACACTGCAATATCGTGGAGGTCAACCAAGCAAACTCTAGTAGCCACCTCATCAAACCACTCAGAGATAATAGCTCTACATGAGGCGATTCGCGAGTGTATATGGTTAAGAACTATCATTACACATATTCGCGGGGCTAGTGGTTTGAGATCAACCACTGAAGAACCCACATGTATTTACGAAGATAATGCTGCTTGCATCGAGCAAATGAAACTTGGATTTATCAAAGGTGATAACACCAAACATATTTCTCCCAAATTTTTCTATAATCAACAACAACAAACTCTCCTCAAGATCCAAGTAAATCAAATAAGATCTGAGGAGAATGTGGCAGATTTATTCACCAAATCATTACCTAAAGCCACATTTGAGAAACATGTTAAAAATATTGGGATGCGTAGACTTTCGGATCTTCCTTGATCATGTACACTTCAGGGGGAGATTTGAATATTCAAAGGTCTAGCTTTTATTTTATGTTACACTCTTTTCCTTAAACCAAGGTTTATTTTTCCCATTGGGTTTTGTTACTTGGTAAGGTTTTTAATGAGGTAACAATATGCATGAACATAGCGATCGAAGTAAGGATCGGTATTCTTT